GTTTTTGTTTTAAATCAAGGTTTTCATATTTGTTAGAAGAAGGCAAAAAAGAAACGGAAATTTTTTAGTCCGTGTTTTTTTTTCACAGTTTTGGAGTGTTTATCTTTAGGCTATGTAGATTACTACCAAAACAGGAGTGTTTTGATTATCGCCTTAATAAACAAATTGAAAAGACCAAGTTGCTGAACAGACATCAGGTTGAGGCAGTTGCGGCGTCTGATGGCGCTGTTGTACTTCGATATATCACATCAACGGGTGATTTATACAGGAACTATGCTGGTATTGCAAAATACAGTAAAATTGTCGAAGGAAAGAAGTACAGTTTTTGCTTCTGTACTCAGTGCTCTTCGAAAATTTTGTTACTTAGTAATTCTGAATCATTAATTTTTGAACTTATTATCTTTGCCTGTTCTGCCATACCCAATATATTCCTTTCCAAAAATTCAAAATAGCAAATTTTTGTTGTAGCTTGATACAACCTAAGCATGCCGCAAGAGATCCGTTGGGTCATACGATGCAGTATGTTGCTGCTGGATTTAACAGAAATGGGTACTCGTATTTTGTTGGCAGCGCAAAGAGACCCGAATATGCGTTGCTGAATGCACGGACGAAAAGTTCGAAGAATGGGGCTAATTGGAGCACGGTGAGAATTACCCGCGTATGTGATGCTGATGAAACAGAAACTCTTTTATCCCGTATAGATCTGGCTTTATACTGTGGCAATTCATGTAAGACTTTCTTCCTTATATTACTAAGAGATAGTGAAAACTCTGAAAACTATTTTTGGAACAACGAACAGGAAATCCTTTACCGCACCTTGTTTGATTAGTCTCTTCATTTGCTTCTCACAATCGTATTGTTTTTTTCTTCGAGTTGAAGGTCTTTGGAACTGTTAACATAGGAAGATGGTTTGAATTTTTATTTGCTTAACTAGTGTAGTTGTGTGTAATTACGTTTCTGCATTTCTCATTCGTGCATTTATTAGTGAAAAGGAAGCAATTGGAAGTAATAAGGTGTGACTTGGGCATTTGAGTTTTAACAGTCGATTAGTTGGTTAGTCATGTGTTTATATTTTTAAGGGATAAGCATTTTATATAATGATTTGGTCAGGGAAACAAAAGGTTTGATTTCAGCATGGGGAGATGAGTTCACTTGTGAAGCAGCAGATTACGATGAGAAGAGAGATTTGTTGGTGCTAGTCATGCAACCGGTTGAAAGATCTGGACAGGTCAGTTTCTGTTCATTTAAAATGGCCTCTATTGCTGCCGAATTTGACCATGTTTGGAATGCGTGTCAAGAGTACGATCATAAGGAACGAAATGACCAAACACAGTTTCCAGTAAGTTAAGCTTTGGGCTTTTTAGTTTCTCCTGATGAGCATTTGTCTTTATCCAGTGATGGCTTGAAGCCAGTCATAGAAGTTTTTTGTTTTTAGGACGAGTCAAATTTTAGCAACTAATTTTTTTTTGATCAATAGCTGTAGTAGATTTAAAAGTTTTACTCTTTAGTACTGCTACAATGTTACTGCTGCAGAACAGTTACCGAAGGCCTGCTGGACTTTTACGCATGCAATTCAAGGTAATCAAGCGCAGCCTTGCTCAAAATATGGCGATGTGAGTTTTTTGATGCAGTAAATGCTTTAAAAGGTAAAAATATTTGGAGTAATATCATGAAGATGAGTAGCAGTAGTTGGAAAGAGCGGACGATACTTGGGAAAGAATTTTGTAAGAAAACCGTTTTAAAATCTTCATTTTTTCTCTATTAACAGTAGCAAAGTTACAGTTTAAGACGAACTTGAAGCTTACTGAAATATTTTAAGTGAAGTGTGGACGGCTTTTAACCGGTCTTTATGCGGTTTTTGATGGGGTTTTTTTGCTTCTTATTATGGTTTTTTGTGTGTCTAAAAAATATTTAGGGGCCAAAAATATATGAAAATTGTTATCTGCAAGAGTACAAACTGTACGCATATCGTTATGGATGGTTAGAACAACATTATCCATTTGCAGGAGATTTATTTATCAGGTAGTAGGACTTGTTTTTTTTTTTTTTTTCTTGACCTTTGTCACTGTAATGAAATTCTTGTAGTGGGAGATATTCAGTTTAAAGGAACACTTTTTGCTTTATCTTGGGCAGAAAAAAGTTATCTTTTGTATTTTAGACTTTTTTTAGTAATGTTTTTTATTCTCGTCAAAAAGGCGTCGCCTTAATACTTTAGTTTGTCAGCCGGTCCTAAAATACTATGGGTGAAGCAGGTGCATGATGGGGAAGCTCTTTTTGTATATACTGAAGACGGAAGGATCAGTCGAGTATTGTTTATTCGTTGCTTGAATTATTGAAATGTATAAAAAAAGCAGCCTCTGTTGTGAAAAAATTATTACTTTTTCATAGGTTTCATCCAGTACAAACGATTTTATATGGTCTGTGGAGTTAAGGCTTGAAAACTCCTTCCAAATTGCTGCAGATTCTAAATCTGAAAGACTGTTTTATGCATTGGGTAATAAGGTGGGTAAATTGCTTTTTGATCTTTACTTTGTTCTTCCACACTAATATAAATAATTTTTTGTTACTGCCGTAGCAAGCGCACCGTAAAATGCGGAAGGCAATATTTGAGGGAAATTTCTCTCACGTTTTTCGCTTTATTATCTTAGAATCAAGGCTTAAGACTGAGTGTCAAGAAGGAGGATCATTTTAGTTGGCAATATGTAGTTTTAACCAGAAAATAAAGTTAAACTTTACTCAATGAAGGTAAGAAATATTAATGTATGGCTGCAAGTAACGTTTAGTTGGTCTATGAGAAGCTTGGAGCTACGTGGGAATTAAGTGTAGCCGAAAAGATTTTTTAGATATTGTTCTAATTCTACTCTCTTACATAAAAATGATATATTTCTCTCTCAGGTAAAAGCTCGTGAGGTGTCATGTGCAGCGTTGTATAATTCTTGTGATTTACTAGAAAGTATTGGATGGTCTGAACCCTTGAAATGTAAATGGTGTGAACTTAAAAAAGGAAATGGTTTTGCATTTTCATCTTATAGGGAATGTCCAGGAAAAATTATATCATTTGGTTTTTGTCCGCCGTTTTTGAAACAAGTAGGTTCTACTAGTTTCCTTGATGTAGGATTTATTGATTTAAGGTATACTACAATTATTTTTACTCGTTATCAACTACTCACAGCAAGTACACTTCTACTGTGGGTTAAGAAATCCTCAAATCACTTTTTATTAATAATATTTCCTGTTCATAGAAAATTATTTTAGAAATTCTCACATAATTTACAGTTGGAATAAAGATTTTGCGGCAAAAGTTTAGTCGTTGATAAATTAGAAGGTGGGGAAATAGTGAATTCGCCACTATCATTAGTGTTTCGAAGCTATTGAAAGCTTTTTATGGTTGTGTTGTAATGAGATCTTCAGCGGAATAAACGCTTGATTATTACAAAGTTATGAATTATTTACGGTCTAGTTTCTATTACTTCTACTCTTGTACCCTTGTGCTCCTTTACTGTTGTTTATTGACTATGCAGTATTCGAGGTATATAAACAACCTGGTACTGGGTTCGACAAGGAGAAGGATTATCGATTTGAACTTCGTGGGGGCAGATTTGATCGGATTGTGAACGCAAGCGCAAAATTTTGCAGTGTGCCTTGCGAGCTTACTAGAATACATGATGGGTTGGTGCATAAATTTACTGCAGGTGTTACCAACTTCTCTGTAATTTAACGGTATCGCTAATGGATGGGGAAATTTTCAGATGGGAATGCAGGTTATTGAAACCAATTGAAGAAGGCATTGACTGCCTTGTAGTCTTGGAAGGCTTTTTGAATTCTGGTGATCATTTTAATACAACGCTTACAATCCAGACAAACGACTTCTTTGTACCCATTCGTCATGCAAAACCGAGCACAAAATCAAAGTAATTGAAGTTTTCCGCTCCAGTTACATAAGTTACACAGCTTTTTAAAATTTTTTATCTATTTCCAAAAAATGCAAATTGGCATGGATTAAAATTGAGTTTTCGAATAACCGACTTCGAATTGTCGTGAAATGAGTTACATAACGGCTTTACTTGTAAGGCTGAAAGCCATTAGTACTGACAAAGCGGTCCCAGCAGTAAAACAACGGTTTAATCTATTTTCGAAAAAATCAATAATTCAGATTGGAGAAGGTATTTTTGGCCAAATCTTAGTATCGCTGTTTTGTATATAAATCCAACTCAAAAAACTGATGTTCATAAAAAGTAAGGTTTAGGGAAATTTGAAATCTTACAGTGTTCCAATTCTCAAGTTCCTCCAGTGTTATTGCTATTTCTGCTGTATGGAATCTGGCACTATCCTGTGAAAGCTTAGCCTTTTTCTAATGGTCATTTTTATGCAGAACTTCCTTGTTTTCTTATGTTTTGGATTCACGGTCGTAGCAGTAAGGTTTCGTTGTGGTTTTTTTTGGTTACTTTTTGGGGATTGCATCACTTCCAAATTGTCGGCAGAGTTTTTTTAAGGTGCAAATTAAGTATGAAGGATAGAAAGCCTTGCAGATCTTTTATCTAGCAGACTTCCACATTTATAGATCTTACAAAATAGATATTTCTTGTTTGCAGACAATATTTGGAAGACCGAGCTCTTCAGTTTTTACCATGTTGGCCTAGTTAAGTTGCTTCTTAGGCATAGTATAGCTTGAATAAACGTCTTGTTCTAATAACTGTGTGCTTGAATCTATCTTTAATAAATTTGTCATCTTCAAAATTCGTTTCTACAGCTGAGATTTGTTGAGATATTTGTACCTCTGTAGCTGTACTTTGGTAACCATAAGTGTGATGTTCGCTATAAATGGCTGTTATGGTTCTCTGTTATTTTAATGCTGCTATCGGTACCACGAGTTTAGCTAAATTTTTAAGGGGCGCTTTGTATTTTTTATCATGGTTTTTTTTTTTTTCTGGAACCAAAAGTAGTTTTGTTCCAGCCGAGTATTAGTGATGAAGTTTGGTGATTGACTCGCTGCTTTAGTTCTGACTTCAAAACGAATTAACTTTATATATTCATTCTTTCAACCTTTTATAGAGACTGGTTTTTTAAGGACAAAGAAAGTTGCGGCTGCAATCGTCTGCTTGATAATATTTATAACACTAATCTGCCTGATAATATGGGTATTTTACAGATATTACAAAAAAGTAAGTTCTCATTTCTTTAACGATTTGTTTGATCTTGTTGGAGGTATCAGAACTTTTTTGTAGCCAACTGAATTGTTATTTAATTTTTTGAAAACTAGTAGTAAAGTAATTGTGTTTAGCATCGGAACCCACTGTGGCAGACAGGTATTGAGTCAGGATCACAGATACCTTTTAGATCTATTAATGGTAGCGGATTCCACCATGGTGCGCTTCTTAACTTACGTAGCTTCTAGGTTTCTTGAACAGCAGTCTTTTTCAAATGAAAGAAACTGTGTGATGAGCACCCTTGCCTTCAATGATTTCCTGGTTTTTACTGCGTTGTTACATCTAACTCAAGAATCGGCCCTAGACTTTTTTTTTAAGCTGTGATGTGAATATAAGTAAGTCTGTTATAGCTTCTGTTGAAAGTAACCCGTATAGCGTGTATAAGTCTGATGGATATCCATTAAAAAAGTTTAATCTCTATGAAAGATTGTATGAAGAGATCGACTGCAGGTTGAAGATTCCATTAAAGAGTATCACTCTTGGAGAGAAAATTGGAAAAGGTTTTTATTTGTTTTTTTTCTCCCTTCCTATCTGTTCATCTTTCGTTGACCTTATTTGAAAAATAATGTATACTGGCGGCTGATTTAGCTTTTTTTGAGAAGCTATTTATTTAATGAGTGTGGCTTGGCTGCATTACACCTAAGTGGATAATTCTGTTCTACTCAAACAATCGGCTTACAGGTAATTTTGGTGTAGTTTACAAAGGTATTTATTGTGGAAAAAATGGGACTTCCGCAGTAGTTGCTTGTAAAACCATAGATTCTGCCACTGATGGGGTTCTCTGTGGGGTCAGCGAGTTCCTTCGTGAAGGACTTATGATGGCCAATTTTGACCATCCTCATGTCACACGGCTTATTGGTATATCCCTGGCTTCGAATGGCTGTCCGATGATCGTTACTGACTATCTTGCGAAGGGAGATTTGAGGCATTACATCATTAATCCAAATAATGTAAGTGCTGGAATCCCTCTTAGAAAAATTAATGAGAGAATTTACGTCTTTGTTTACAGAAGTTAACGTTCGGTAACTTGTTGGATTTTGGTATTCAGATTGCTGATGGTATGGCTTATCTTCACGAGAAGAAATTCATTCACCGCGACTTGGCAGCTCGAAATTGCATGTAATTTTTTTTCGGTCTATAAACTTTGAGTCTTTGCTCTCTTATTTTTTTCTTTCAGTGTTAGTTTTACTTTTTTTCTTCGTTTAATCTGTAATTAATTTATTATCTTATACAGGCTGGATGAAAAGCTGAATGTTAAAATATCAGATTTTGGGCTGAGTAGAGATGTTTCTCGAGGTGGTATGTATGAAGCGAAGAATAGGAACCGCGGAATTCCAATTCGTTGGATGCCAATTGAATCTTTAGAAGAACAGCAAGTAAAATGAAATTGTTTTTACATTTGTCTGTTTATTTTCCGCTTGCTGAGGTGAGACATGTGGAAATGCCGCTAAATTTCTTTAAACTTTTTTACAACGAAAGTTTAATAAAATTAAAGAAAAGTGGTGTTTTTTAGTATACTTTCAAAGGTGACGTTTGGGCCTACGGTGTTGTATTATGGGAGCTTGCAACAAGAGGTCTTATTCCTTATGGCGACCTCGAAATGAAGGATATATTACGTTTATTGAAGCAAGGGCATCGGCTTTCTAAGCCAAAGAAGTGCCCAGATATTTTGTAGGTTTCCTGCCCCTGAATCTTTTCTCTTGATTTAGATTTGTGGGAAAAAATAGTGTTTATTTCTTTCTAATTTTAGTTTGCTTAAGGTACCAAAAAGTTATGCTTCTTTGTTGGTTGGAAGTTCCTGAAAGAAGGCCGACATTCAACGAGCTTAAAGAGATGATGGAGGATGTAGTTGACCAGCTCAAGAAGGGTATTTCTGGCACGTCTTTGCTGAACAATCACTATGAACGTGTATGCAATCGTTCTGCAGCGACCACGCCAGTTTCATACCCAAAGCCTTTCCCAGTGGGTTCTGTAGTTACCGACTTGTAATTATACTTTTTGCTTTTAAAAACGGGACTGTGTGTAATACTAATAGTATATCACAGTAATGTTCTATTGTTTAGCGTGCTGGAACTTGGGGGTTGACTTTTTTCCTAGTAGTTATTGGGGAAGTGGAAAAGAGGGAATTTTGAAATAGAAGAACATTGGAAGTATGTAAATAATGTCGATTTATTGGGCTAAAAGGGACTGTTTCCGCACGCTTTCGTCACAGCTACTATTGAAATTTTGTTGTGTATATGCTGTTCTCGCGACCTTAAAACTAGTGATTAAACTTGGTTGATAATGGAGCTAAAAGACCAATATTACTAATACTGCTCTAAGCAAAATGAAATCCATTTTTTCCAGAACAACTTTGAGGATTCTGCTTTTTTTCTGTAGACTTCTGCATTGAACCTTCTTTTACTAGATTGTCATTACTAGGAGGCTGGTGGTGTTTTTGACAACTCACTAACCTTCCTTCGAGTCGTTGATTTAAATTGTTGTTGAAACGCCTTTGTAGTTAAGCGTGCATACGCCAAACATGTGTCTTCTTTACTGTGAACTTAACTTCTGTTCTCCCATGTACAGCTGCAAACTTCGCCTTGTTCTTATGTAATAGTTCTGGGCTTATATGATTCTTGCTAACGCTTGAATAGCCTAGAGCTAGAGTTTTGTTTGAACCTTTATGGTATTACGTGACACATGTTTTTCAGTGCTACTTGGTGTAATGAGCTGCAATTGCACTTTGCGACTGCGATTCTAAGATTCTGAGAGATCCAGGCTTACTTTGGTGGCAACCTTTTAGCTCACATCTTTCGCATTACTTGACCATTTTTTCATCTCTTTAAAACACCTGTTTGAGCATTTTGGTTGTTTACATAGAACTTATTAGCCAGCCGGCTGAGGTTGCTGGGGGGGTTATGGGGAAGGATGTTTGGAAACAAGTATTCGCGTAGACTTATGAAGATACGTGGATTTATTATCGGGCAAATGATGCAGTGGCGAAGAAAAAGTATTCATGTTTTCAGGTGGGAGCAAGCAAATTTTTTTTTGTCAGGAATCATTGGTTCGACGGTTAGGTGTGTGAGAAAAGTAAACAGAAGTACATAGAAAACAGGACTTTTGGGAGGACGCTATGCAATAATCAATTTCTTGGCGGTCTTATCAGTAAATTGTTTGTAGCTGCTGTGCTTTGAGTGAAAAATAGTACGTTGGGAACTTGACAGTAGTGTAATTTGCCCCCGCCGTACGTTGATAGCAGCCGATTTGGAATTTTTTCACTTGGGATTATTACTCCCACTTTCAACTTGTAGAAGTCGCTCAACCTATGGGGTGCTTGCTTTTTGTTAGCTGTCTTAATAAAGATGTTATTGTGATAAGGTAACAGATGGAATTCTGATCAGGATGTGCTGCTTTATGTTATTTTCTTTCTTTCAACCTTAATTTTTTTATCATTAGATGCCTTTCTAGACAGATTTTTTAGTATTGCGGTTCATAGGCTCGGTTTATCTGTTATTTTAAAGTAGAGGGTGACTTTTGAAAGGTATTTGTTGGTAAAGAGTAGACTAATTGAGTTTAAGTCAATAACAGATCATGTATTGGTCCCATTTTGTTGGTTATCTTCACCGGGGTTGTGTAGCCTGTTCTTCGTCTGTCAATGCACTTGCACGTTAATTGATGCTGCAAAAATACAATTGCAGGACAACTAGTCGGTCCTATAGAAGTGACAACGAAATGTCATTTTCCAGAGGTCCTCATACTTTCACGGTAACAGCAAAATTGTTTTCGAAAAATCGTGAAAGGCTAGTGGATGTTTTGAGAACTAAATCAAAACCTAGAAGTGTAATTCTTTTGAAAGGTGGAGAAGAAACTCTCCGTAATTATTCAGATAGCGTAATCAACGTTTTCAGGCAGGTAAATTATTTGCGGAAGCTCTTTATTCTTAGTACATGTTGCATGGTGTAGTAACTTAATTGAATATCTTTGAGTACTGATTTTTAAAGTTTTCATAAACGGGTAAGACCATTTTCTCTATCTCTGTAGTTACTCAAGTCCCGTTCACCTTTGCACTTTTGCACTTTAAGTTTTCTTCTCATTTTTAGTGAATGTACAGTATAAAGCATATAAGAGTCGGTTTGGCACGTTATTCTGCTCCCCCAAATCTATCATATTGACACTTGAAACGCATTTTTGAAAGTTTACTTTTTTTTTTCAGTTCATTTTTTTACCTCCATGAGCCTTTTATACACTCGATTATCGACAGCCTTCTACAAATTTTTAGTCTTTCAGGAGTCATACTTCTTTTGGACATTTGGAGTACATGAAGAAGATTTTTTTGGAGCTATTGATATTGATTCTGGGAAGTCCATACTGTTTCCTCCAAGATTACCTCCTGCTTACGGAATTATTTGCGGAAAGTTGGCCGGCTTTCAACTATTATTTCATTTAGGCGAAAGACAGTTTGCTCAGTTGTTTGTGTTCATTATTCCCTGTTGGTTGGAAATAAATCAGACACCACTGCTAGAATTTGAAATTTTTGGAACCTATTCACATCACTAAGGCTCTTTTTTAAGGATAAACCCAGAGAGTTACTTCAAAGAAAAATATGGAGTCGATGAAATTTATTTTAACGATAAGGGTAAAGTTGTAGAAGTATTAAAGAAACTGAATACTAAACACCTTTTATTACTGGTTAGTTACTAAATATTTTGTCAGACTTCATCAGTGACTGCCGATAATTAGTACTCTTATCGCCATTAACATTTCAGAAAGCAGAAAACACCGATAGTGGTATGACAATGAACAGTCCAGAGTTCGAAGGTAGGAGTGAGTAAGTACTTTATAGTTTTGGAAATATTTATATTTAAAGACCAATATCTAGAGAGGATAAATAATTAGGTAGTGCGGTAAGTTTAAGTAGCAACAGTTCGCTCCAGATAACAAAAGCCACTTTAAATTTAATACAGTCTAATGTAACCTCTTTTTTAGTTTTGAAATTGATGAGACAACGCTGTATCCCGTCATTGGAAACCTTCGGGTTTTCAAAACTGATATGGAATTAGAAGTCATGAGATATGCTGCGAGGGTACTATATTTTATTAGGTCTAGAAGGAAATGATATTTTTTAAAATTTATAATTAGCTGTTAGAAACTCAACTTCTTCGTTGTTTCTTTTTAATTTTTGCAGATATTTGCAGGCCGCTTCCGAGGCTCATAAAAACCTAATGAAGAGTGTGAGACCAGGGTTGTTTGAATATCAACTTGAAAGGTTACTACCCTTTAGGAGTTACTACGTCCATTATCTTTAGCGTTCTAGCAGTTAGACGAGACCATCTAATTATGTATTCTGTTCGTTTTGACAACTGCATCTACATTCTCTTTAAAACTTCGTGTTCCTCTGATTAAAAAATGTTTTCTAGTTCTTTTTGTCATACATGTGCATTCGATTTTGGGTGCCGGTTCCCGTCCTTTATTTGTATCGCTGCGTCGTAAGTTGATGTGAATTCTCGTAAATTGTTATTATTTTTAGTAGCGATTTTTTGCTGTTTAGTAGCTGGTTTTCTTTTTTAATAACTTAAACTTTAGAGGGCCGAATTCGGCTGTGTTGCACTATGGCGCTGCAAATGCGCCAAATAACAGAAAGTTAAAGAACGGAGACTTATGCGTACTTGATATGGGTACAGAATACAACTGTTATGGTGAGTTAGATTTTTTTGTTCTATTTAATTTATTAATATTTTAGGGTTGCAAACGTTTAGATGGAACTTTTGATTCGAATAGAAGTTTTAAGTTTTTTGGTCATTTCATTTAAAGCATCGGATATCACGATAACTGTTCCTTGCGGTGGCAGGTTCACAGAGAAACAGAAAGTTATATACAACGCGGTTCTACGAGCGAACAGAAGAGTTATCGAAGCGGCTAAGCCAGGTTTTGTTCTTCTTCTTCTTCATATTTATTGGAAATTTTTTTGACTACGTTGTCGGTCTAGTCATTTTTTATAGGAGTTAGGTGGACAGACATGCACCATCTTGCTGAGAGAATTATTTTGGAAGACCTTAAAACTGCAGGTATTTTGAAAGGAGAAGTAGAGGAGATGATTGCTGCTCGCGTGGGTGGCATTTTTATGCCGCACGGTTTAGGTCACTTTCTTGGCGTTGACGTGCACGACGTTGGAGGATATTTGGGGGTGTCTGAATACGTTTGTTGCGGTCTTACATTTGTCTGAAACCAGCTTCAATCTCTCCCTAGAACTTTTCAGGATGCAACTCCACGTTCTTCACTTCTTGGTCTTAAATCTTTGCGTACGACTCGCACTCTCGCCGAAAGGATGGTGATAACTGTTGAGCCTGGCTGCTACTTTATTGATACAGTTAAGAAGTTCTTGTTTTCCGCCTTCGGAGTTTCTTACCTGTGAACTTTGTGTAGCAGCAAATTTTAAGCAGTTCACTGCTACATAATTTTTAAAGTATTATTTTAGCTTTTGGATGAAGCGCTCGAGAATGAGC